GAATATAGGAAGACGTAGCTGACAAAGTGGCATGCCAAGTTTGAACAAATTAACATAAGTTCTTTTATTATATTTGCGTCCAACCATTATGTGTGGAAGAATTGGTCCGAGCCAACCAAAGCATTCAAATAGCTCTAGTACTCATTTAGTTCAAATTGAAATGGTTAGGGGATTCGAGATAGATCCGATATGGTTTTGTGGTGGATTCGAGGTAACTCCGAGGTGAATCTGAGATGGTTCCGTAATGGATTCGAAATGGTTCTGAGGTGATTCCGTGATAGCTCCGAGGTGAAGGTATTGAACTCTCGAGGCATTACCTACATTAAGATCACGATCGGGAGAAGTTTTCTGATCCAATTTCTTCGATGCTGAAATTAGTAATATGATATCCCAAAATGTGGATTTAAGTAGTTCAAGAAAGAAGAGAGCTACCCTATTTCTCTATTTATGATATGTTTTTATACCTTAAATGAGGGGAAAAAAAGGTTTGTGATAGCATTTCTCATCATAAAGAAAGAGAAAGAGTTTAGAATTATATTTATTTTCATAAAGTGAGAGAAGGAAATTTGTATAGCTTCTTATCGTAATGACGAAGAAAGAAACTTATGTTTCTTTGCTTTAAATCTTTATACACTAACAAATGAAGGATGATTTAGATCTCGCATGACAATCACGTATCAATTGATGGTGAATTTTCTATAAAAAATTAATTGAAATCAGGATGCTTTGGCTCTGTTTCGATTCCAATTTCAGGAAATCAAAATTGATAATTCTAATTCGATTTTGAACCGCTAGAAAGAAGAAGAAAAAACCAAACATATCTACAATTAATAGATCTATCCTTTTAATAATTTAATAAACAGTTAGTTAATTAGATAAATATTAAAAAAATTAAAATTGATGATTCTAGTTTGAAATCAATATTTGACTTAAAATCAATTACAAATAGACTAAATCGGAACGATCGATTTTAAAATTGGGATCAAGATTTCAAGACCCAACAAGAGTTAGAAAGCACCAATATGTTGATAAATGATTTAAATTTTAGATGGTGTTAATGTGGGTTATATAGCCTTAGTAACTCTGATTACTTACTTACTATCTTCACCGCGATCACTAACCACTATCATCATCTTTAGAATTATCAGCAGTAATGATCGAAATCTGTCTTAACAAATTCATGTTACTACTCGAAAGGTAACTTCTATTTACTTCACAAAAGCTTCGACCACACAAAAGAAAGACACTCAACGTCCCCAAGTTTCCTCGATGTTTCTTTTGTCGCTCGCTCATACAACGACGGCACGAAGAACGCTCCAATCAAGTCTTTTTCTACAACATTTATTTATTATTTTTTCTGACCATTTAGATCGACGTGTACGCCATCTTTCGAAAAGTTGACCACACTACGTGTATTTTAATCATGGCGTAGTGTCGTTTTATTCCTCTGGTTGCGAAAAAGAAGGATTAGCCGTTGCACCCTTTTCTTCCCCCGCCACGCGTATCGCTTCTCGCCTGCACTCATTCTGACATGATTGCTGCACACCTCCTTTTGAAGTGATGGAAGCTACCCTCCTCCTCTCGACGAGACCACCATTTAACACCACAGCGCACGCTTGTCGCTGCGCTCGATTGCGTTGTTGTTTTGCTGTCCAGCATCACGAGTGACTCACATGCTTATGCTGCTCACTTTTTATTTCTCCTTTCTACACAGCTCACTGTTAAAGGAGGCAGCAGCTGCCAACCGGTCGTACTGATAAGAAGCTGTGCATCTAAGCAGGACGACTGCTGCTGCTGCGTGGCTTTCTGCAACCTTGTTGCTCGTTGGGAGCTAGCGGAGCTTCGTTTTTTGTTTGACGATATCGAAATTGCCTGCCTTCCGCGCCGGGTTTCCTGCGCTGGACTTGCTTTCCCCACCAGAGAAGCAACCTGTCCCCCTGTTTTGTTCTGCTCCTCTGTTTTCGTATTCTAATGGTTTAAGGTAAATACAAAACAGCACAGTAATCGGTAGACCAACTCACGGTACCATAAAAGTAAGAAAACATGTGAAGAACCACGTTTTGACTGCTGTAGATTTCAAGAAATCACGGCTGAATCAGCCTGGCAAGGAGAAGATATAACAAAGCTGCATGCATGATCGTAATTGTACCTTAGGGCTGGTGTCGGTGGGTTGGTGCGCCATTCATTTGCGATTTATAGTCTTGTCGACACATCCCATTATGATCCAGAGTGAGGAAAAATCTTCTCTTTCCGAGGGTAGTTCATGACAAGGAAAAGATAGAGAGAGAGGAGGTGATATAATAATTTGTATACCATATAAGGATCAGTTCATTTTAGGTGATTTTTTAATTTTTTCTTACAACATTTCATCGAAGATACTCCGTTTTTATTTCTTTCAAATAGTACTTCTATTTTTATAATATCATAAATGCTTCTTACTGATCATTTCTTATCTTTGTCTCATCCCGCTCATGTGTCTCTTTCATCGTCACCTATATTGATTATCTATCTTAAAGACCTCATAGGCAGGATGAGATTGACGATAATAGAGAAGATTCTATGGGATGAGTTAAAACGAAGATACAATAAATGAGAAAGAGCGTTTGATAAGGGAGTGACATTGAGACGATAGGCCTCCTAGCTGGTAACCATAAGATTAAAGGTTTAAGTCCTTTTTTTAGTACCAAAATATTAAAAAAAAATATCATTAACATCTTGGTCAGCCCAACATGATCTAGATATATATGTGCAGGAATGTTCGAAATATCTCTGAGGTGAAAATATCTTGGTTTCGAGGTGGAAATGTTATACTTCTGAGGTGAAAATATCGTACTCCTAAGATAGAAATGCCATGCTCTCAACGTAAAAATATTATGCCATGTCGACTGATGGTAGATTCACTGTCACCAATGTTGTTGCTTTAATACCATTAACTGCGGAGTCATCATAGCTTGATTCTATCTTGAAGGCACAAGTTTGTCCTCGAAGCCCACGTGAAAGTTACGAGAGGTATTTGAAGTGGGGAGAAATCCAGCTTATGCAACCCCGAGGTTCCACTTGTTCGCATTAGGAAAGCTCCATGTTGTCTCGAGGTACGCCTTAGTTTTGTTGGGATCCTTGCACAAGTAATCAATGTTATGAGGTGTTTCCGACCTGACATCTCCAATGGTAAAGTTAGTTATGGTGTGGAAATAGTAAAAGTTTTTTCTCTGATCTCCCTTCAAGTTCTAGGTGCTAGCTTTTATACCTGAGTGACCGACGATGGGAGGTTGATGGCTCTTCTCTCGATCCGTGGTCTTGTAAGGACTCATTTATGTCGATGATTGGTTAGTACGTATCTTTGTGATGCATCGTCAGCGAAAGACGATCACAAGGGGCACCATTTGTCTAGGATGATGTTTGCAGGACAAACAGACGACGATCGCTTATGTCGAGCGACCAAAAAAAGGGGAGATGGGCTTTGTCGCTATGGATTAATACTCTTTCTGAGCATGCGATCGGGAAAGAGGGAAAAGGGTTCCGTCGTTAGGGATTAATGCTTCCTACGATCAAACGTGTGATCTTTTCCGAAATCATGATTGGCAAGGGTAAAAGGTTACTTCCCTATCGCTCGCCACGGCAAGGAGAGACGTGTGTGCCCTTCTACAACTCGCTGCTAAAATAGTTTAAAGTTATTATAGTCGTTTAAACTTTACCGCTAAATCAGGATATAATGGATCAGACGTAGTGGGTCGGAGTCAGACCCGTAAGAGTGAATCACATGTAGGGAGGCGGACGAGTTCGTGTTGTCTCCTGCCGTAGAGATCCGTGGAGCATTCAAGATACCCATTAAAGTCACGTGACGATGCCAAGTACGTGGGCGACGGTCTCACATGGGACTGGACAATCACTGCGAGCGTGGCCTCAGTTCCATTCCATCCGCCTAACGTGGCCGAGCTCTTACGACACCTGGAAACATTATGAGCCCCGGTAAAACACACGCCGATCACCTTCTGCGAGTAGGCCTGCTCTGTACTCCAAATGATCGACCAGGACCAGCCATGTCGTGCGTGAAGCGGACTGTGCACGGATCCAGATCCGGATGGTAAGGTTACGGCTGCCACGTCTCGGTCTCGTTCGGATCCGACATGACAACCGAGTTCAGGACGACGAGCAGAATCGTCCGATGGAGATCCGACGGCCGATCCAACCCCCCCCCGCATCGTGATGAGATCTTGCTGTCGGCGAGAACCAAAGACGGCACTGCCATCGAATCACCGTCGAACGCGGATCAGACGGCCTCCAACGCGCCATCAAGTCAGTCGTCGTCAGCTGAAACCGACGCGCGCGTTAAAAAAAGAGAGTAAAAATAGGAAAGAATTGTGAAAAAAGGACGCGGCAACCGTCGGTGGATTCCACTCCAATCACCACCGTCCAATCCATGGTCTTATGTATATTATCCGAAGCAGGTCTCCTCTGGTAATTGGTAGGAATGTTTTCTTTCTTCTTCACAGAGCCGTCCTGACAAGCACAGCTTTGAATATTACAGGTAAATTAAGACCCAACGCCCCCCGACTGAGACGTAGCGCGGTTTCGAAGGCAGCAACGGTGATGCGCACAGCTCAACCTGCTTCGGAAGGTCGGTCTTCTTCTAGCAGCCAGCGGTGGTGGTCTTTTGACTCTCTCTTTGTAGCATGAAAAAGTTAAAGAGGTATAGAATATAGTAGGGTTTCTTTTTAGAAAGGTGGGGGCTTCAGCAAGGAGCATTATCTTTTTACTCATTACGCGCATATATTTAGCCTCATCTACCTGCTCCATTATTGAATAGGATACATGAGCCGAATGGGGGGCCCACGAGGGGTGCAAACGGGTAGGTCTAATAATTTCCTCAAGGAAGAAAAGGCGAAAGAGAAAGGAACGGGCATCTTTGGGTACTTTCCAACGATGGTTTTTGCTTTTTAAGTGCGCAACCTAACTCTAATATTTTTACCCACTTCGCTCTCGTTCTCCTGCCTTCCCTTTTTCTTTTCTTTGTGTGCTCTCGTCTCTGTTCTCCGTTCTCTGTTCTCTGTTCTCTGTTCTTCTTGTATGAGCACGAAGTGGCATCGAGAAGTATGACTCGGAGAGAGGTGGCGCAGCAGACAAGGCAATAACTATCTCGATCTCCTCCTCCACCGCCATTCTATGTATCTCTCCGTCTCCACCGAACTTGTGTATATATCCAACTAAGGTAGGGAAAAAGAATCGATACGGAGAAAGAACCGCATCTTTCTTCCATTGTTCCTCTGCATCGCTTCTTCGGACCAAAACCACACGGCTCGCCAGATCTGATCCCAGAATTCGAACCGCGCGAACTGCATTCCATCTGGTAAGTCCTGTTCATGCCTGCATTTGGCTCCGCCCATCTGATTTTGGTTTTCCCTGCTGCTGTTCTATCTTCCCCGATGGTTTTGTCTCGTATCTTTTTATAGCCCTGATAGAATTATGCTCCTATAGAATTTCATTTCGTGCGTTGGCGGTGGCATCGACGACAGAAAAATCCGTGTTTCTCCTAATATTTTTCCTGAGGAAATTTGATTTCTTTAATCTTTATAATCGCTGTTGCTGACCAGCAGATACACAATGCATCGATCTGATGCTCTCAATGTACTTGGCGGAGACTTTTGATCACCTCGGTGTTCTTTTCTTCCGATCAAAGGTTTTGAGTTTGTATTGCTGAATGCTGAAACGCTGCCAAAGCTTGGCTGGTAGGTCAGTGCTGCAAGTGGGAGACTAGCATTGACAAAAAAATTTCAAGTCCGGCATGATGAACTGGCCTGCTTTAAACTAATGCCTTGTATTCCTTCCGAAGCAATCTCGCTTCAAGCATGCCCATGCCAGATTAGACCAGGAAGGGCATGGTTTTTGCGCCCCTTTTCCAGTCTGGAATCACTTAATTGTATCTGGGAGACGATAGCACCTCCTTACCCCACTTATATTTAAAGAATTTCAACTACTTTGGGCCATGTCTGCTCTCAATGCTTCCTTGGTGGCCTCTCTAATTTACTTCCCGCTTTTAATTTCCCTCTCCTAACTTGTGTTCGTCCTGGCATCAAGGACTAATCCACCTTAATGCTTTAAATTCTCAACATGTTTGTGCACGACTGACGACCGCTCTCTTTGTCCTTCAATCAACCAACCAATGCTGGTTTTCTTTGATTAGCTTGTGTTTTATATTAAACTTGTGATTCCATTCCATGTGGTGGTGACTACTAGGGTTAAAAAGACAATTTACAGTGTCCAAGCAACTTTTTTTCTCTCTCACAAATATTGTTGCTAAATCTCCATATATGCTTATCTGTTACTAGAAAATCAGATATTCGATAGTTCTACCTCCAGGTTCTGTTTTTAATTCATTCGTACCGTTCTGCTACATTTCTATTCCAGCTGCTAAGGTTTGTGGTTCCTGTATGGCTACAATGCCAAGCTGTATCAAATGATATATTTACAAAGCAGCGCATATCTGTTCCAATGGGTGCCCAGAGTCAAACCTATGCGATGATATTGCTTTTCTTTTCCAGCAAACAGTGCAGCTGCACTCACAAAATCAGGAAACTTCACTAATTGGTTACTCATACCATGGTCAACGTTGTCAATCATTACGTGTCATTAACAATTTAAGAGCCAAATCTAAAAAAAAGGTTTTGTTTACTTTTCATCTAACTCTACGTGTGATTCTCTCTTTTAGCTTCAAAGTTTAAGAATCATTAGCTAGAACTGTCATTGACTAGATTTCTTGGCAGAAACAACTTTACAGACTTACAAGGTTCACTTGGTTATTATGGTAAGAGAAGTTCCAAAGCTGAGCCTAATTGATTATGCCTCTTCCAACTGTTGCATGGAGATGGAACTAGTATTGGATATGTACCTACGTATAGGTTTCTTCAACAGGAAATGCAAAAAGATGAAGTGTATTGATAAATAACTCGGATAGATATTAAATAGTATCGTAGAGAGCATTAAGAAGGAATATTCTGTAGAAAGTAGTGATATTAAGTTGTTCCTTCTTCTTTTTGATAGTTTTAATTGGAAACTTATCTCTAGATTACTGATAAATACCTGATGAAGGACTGTATACTAGCATTGTGATAAGTGTATCCCTTTGAGGTCAAAACTCCATTTTAGCTTAATTCTTAAGATTCTACCATAGTTTTAATTCTGAATTCCAGCATCATCAACCAAAACCTAGAAGTAAAAGCTTCAAGGATCTTTATGGCTATATACTATAGAATCAAGTTCATTGTTTTGGTAAATTTTGACTCACTACCTTGTCAAAAGTGTCTGACTTGTATCTTTATATGAAGATTTAACTGTGAGTCGAATGTGAGGCTTTATTATCACCTAACATTGACCATTAGTCATTATCAGTAAATAAAATCGAGTATCTAGTAGGCAAGTATACTATCTCTCTGTTTGGATGCTCGAATTCAGTATTGTGAAGCATAAGATATTTATGGACTTTGATAAACTTATTAGTTAAAAACATTAGCAGCATGTTTTGTTTTAAGTTTTAACTAATGTCGAAACATGGAAAAACCTATTGACAGAACTCAGTCACTTGTAATACTTGGATTTCTGTTGTTCGCATAACTAAAATACATAACCAGAGTTCTACTGGCAGTTTATATTCATATGAGCATGTGATTATAACTGAGAAATCATGGGAAATGTCCTTCTGGATATTAATACTTATAGGAATATACTTTTCTCTTAGTAATTCTATAGGTCTTGTTTGATATCTTAAACAACTTGCAGCTTTCCTGTCACCATTTCTTGTGTCAATCCACCTGTTAGCATGAGTTTTCATTTCTATTGTACTTTATTTGTTGAAGAATGACTCAATCAATATAGCATTATAGGATATTTAATTGATGATGGATCGGCGAAGTTGGCCTTGGAAGAAGAAGTCATCTGAAAAGGCAGCGACTACAACTGATTCCTCCACTGCAATTTCATCTAGTTCTGGTGGAAATAAAGTTGATCAGGTTTGTTTCTTTCTGTGCTTTGCTGGTGCAGACTTGAATGAAATCACATCAGTGAATTCTTGATGGACAACATGTTTTGAACATTTCTAATTGATTGACATCATCGATACGAGTTTGATAAATGGGTTCCATGCAGGTAGATAGATACAGGATACTGATATTGGAAAATGATAAGCTTGTTTTATTATTTGTTTGCAAATATGGTGTATAACCTTAAAGTTGAACATAAGAGTATTTCTAGAATATACCACTTGAAATTCATAGATGGATATTGTATAGAGACTCATAAAAGGACAGGCTTAAAGATGTCAAGAATGCTGTATATGGTCCCTTTTACGGAGTTCTACGCAGACTTTAAAATGAAAGACACTTGCATAATACAGTCAGGCTAATTAGTTATCTTTGTTCATTTTTCATAGCATCAACAAATAGAAGACTTTATGTGCATTAAACAAAATTACTAGAGGTATCTAGCAGGCTCAATCTGTAGGCAATAATACTGTGATCCATGTTGGCAGGTGACATTTAGTCATACTGGCATATGTATGTTGACATCCATTTATTCAATGTTGAAACTGACCATTATTCAATGGCTATATTTTATATCAAGGAACTGCATGTGTTTGTAGTTAGTTTCTGAAAAAAAAAGTGGCAAACCTTTGCTGTTCCAAATGTGTGACAGTAAACAATAATCAAATACCCAGCCGAGTTGGGCAAGAGTTTAGGGAATAGCTACATCACCATGAAAGGTGATCCACTAAAACCAAGAGACAACACAAAAACTAAAAAGCAACTAATGTACACCCAAAATCCACAAATCAAAGCTGAACAATTCTAATAAATGGGATCTCCAGATCCAACAGAAGTATAAATAAACAAGGAAACCACATTATATTATTGTCATTTCATAAAAATAAACATTAAGAGATGAAGTTATAACCAGCAGAAGTCTTGCAAATCAGGGCACCAGTTTGTTTGTCATATTTGGAGGAATAACCACTGGCAACATCAATGGTTATTGGGACATCTTGAGAAGCACAATGGAGTGGAATAAGCAAGCTTTTTTTTTTCTTGCACCTGTATCATCAAGGCCAAGGAAAATAGAAAATTTAAATCTATGCAAATATACTTGCATCACATTAAACAACTTTCTTTATCCAAAGAGTTAACATAACAGGTAAACTAATGAGGTTTCATGAGGGTCTTAGCTTGGAATCTATTCCCTGCTCTTTCAAAGACCTCACCAGGATTTGTTGTTGGTAGTTATTGTTTCTTATCCTATGTTACTGTGGATTGTGAGTGAAGACATCTGTCTTGTTTTCTGGTTTGCTCTTCTCTTGAGGTGGTTACATACTCTCTCAGTTGAATCCCTTTTTTGCAGGATAGTAATACTATTAGCTATGTACAAATTTCTGTGGAATCATATGCCCACCTGACTGAATTGGAAGACCAAGTGAAGACCTTACAAGAAAAATTATCTGCAGCACAAACTGAGATGACAACTAAGGATAATCTAGTCAAGCAACATGCTAAAGTTGCTGAAGAAGCAGTTTCAGGTACTAAGGTGTAGGATTACATCAATTTGCATGAATATATTTTGGTGCCAACATTTAATAAGTGGTTCATGTGGCTGCATATGCAGACATTTATTCTGATATAGCTCTGTGACTTCTTGCAGAAAGCCGTAGTAGTCCTATAACTATGTTCAAACATAGTGAACAGGCAGCTATTTATTATGATCCATATGCCATTTATTATTATGTGATTCTCTAAGACCTCTATGCTTTGACCTTTTTTTTTCTTTTCCACTTATCACTTTTAGGTTCACTAATGAGTACCATTTTATCTTATTCTGACTAGACACTTTATTTGTTAATATATAAATTTAACCATGTATTTTGGCTTTGCTATTTAATTGTCAAAATTTTCTCAGTTGGAAAGTATGTGTGTGTGTGTATATATATTGTATGACATGTACATGTGACCAAAATTAACATATGCAGCTGCATCCTGCATATGCTCAATGCATTAGCCTGATCTGTGTCTTAACTTCATTTAGTACTGCTTGGTGATAAGCACATCAATCTGGTTATGCTTTCTTAAAAAAATTGACATAGTTTTAGCTGATTTCTCTGGTTGTCTTTAAGATTGTTGATCTGAAAATTGATTATGAGGAACCTTTTTTTATTGTTTTTAATTTCTTATTTTGAGTATCAATGATTAAGATGAACATTTATTGTTGTTTCAGGTTGGGAAAAAGCTGAAGCTGAATCATCTGCACTGAAAAATCAACTTGAATCTGTCACATTGTTGAAGCTTACTGCTGAAGAACGCGCATCTCATCTCGATGGTGCCCTGAAGGAGTGCATGAAGCAGATAAGAAACGTGAAGGAAGAAAGCGAGCAAAAATTGCATGATGTAGTCTTCGCCAAAACTAAGCAATGGGAAAAAATGAAGGCAGAGCTAGGAGCAAAGCTAGATGATTTTGACCAGGAGCTGCTCAGAGCTTCTGCTGAAAATGCAGCTCTTTCAAGATCTCTTCAAGAACGTGCAGATATTCTGATGAAAATTACTGATGAGAAGTTGCAAGCTGATACTGAAATTGAAGTGCTAAAGGGCAATATACTATCATGTGAAAAAGAAATTAATTCATTGAAATATGAACTACATGTTGTTTCTAAAGAGCTTGAAATTCGGAATGAAGAGAAAAATATGAGCGTAAAGTCTGCTGATGCAGCAAACAAGCAGCACCTGGAGGATGTCAAGAAAATATCAAAACTGGAAGCAGAATGCCAAAGATTACGTGGCCTTGTTAGAAAAAAGCTGCCTGGACCCGCTGCATTAGCACAAATGAAGCTAGAGGTTGAGAGTTTAGGCCGTGATCATGGTGAGAGTAGATTGCGGCGCTCACCTGCTAAGAATCTTGGTACTAATCACATATCAACACCGGCTCTGGATTTTGCCTCTGAAAGCATTTACACTTTGCAGAAGGAGAATGAGTTTCTTACAGCACGCTTATTAGCAACTGAGGAAGAAACGAAAATGCTAAAAGAGGCTTTATCAAACCGTAACAGTGAGTTACAGGCTTCAAGAAACATTTTTGCTAAAACAGCAAGCAAGCTTCGTAGTGTTGAAGCACGGATGCTGGCTCTGAACCCGCAAAAGTTCTTATCAAATCCAAGTTTTGACATCTCTTCTGATACCAATTTGAGCCAAAATGAAAGTCACCCACCAAGCTTGACCTCAATGTCTGAAGATGGAAATGATGAAGTAGAAAGTTATTCTGAACCTTGGGCTACACCATTAACGTCAGATCTCTCACAAATCAAGAAAGAAAAAGGCACTGAAAAGAGTAAGAATACTGGCAATTCAAACCATTTGGAACTTATGGATGACTTTCTAGAGATGGAGAGGTTAGCTTGTTTGTCAACAGAGTCTAATGGAACAATGACGATATCTGATGGTGTCCTTGATAAGCTGAAAACTGTAAATAATGATGGTACTTTGTCGGCTGATGTTCAAAAGGATGCTACTAGTAAAGAGCAACATCTGGCATCAGAGAAGACAGGTCTGCCTTGCACAAATCAAATGTGTTCTGAGGGAGAACTTGCAACGAATAAGCTCAGTTCTCTGTTGAGAAAGCTTCAGTCAAGAATAAACTCTACTTTTAACTTGTCAGATCAGGAAGTTGATATCGGTAAAGTGTTGGAGGATATAAAACATATTGTGCAGGAAACACAGGAAGAGTTGCCTCAGCATTCTGTAAGCTGTGTTATCGAAGAAAATTACTCTACAGATGCTTCTTGTCATAAAAGAGATTGCTATGATGATGTGGACAAGACTACCGATATAGGCATTTCTTCTAAGCAAGATGATATTTCATGCGCTGATGATAAGCAGAACTTAGGTCAAGAGTTCAAAAATGCTTTGTCAGAGATTCAAGATTTTGTTACATCTGTTGGTAAAGAATCCTCAGAACTACAAGATAGGCAATCTGGTGGTCCAATACTAAGTGAGAAAATCCAGCAGTTCTCTTCTTATGTCAATGATGTACTACACAACGAAAAAAGCTTGAATGATTTGATACTTATTTTATCCCATATTTTGTCCGAAGCCAGTGAGATGGGCTTTAAAATGACCTTTAAAATGGGCAATGAATGGGAAAGCAATATTTCAGACTGCATAGATAAGGTAACATTACTTGAAAACAGAGTGGCTCAGCATGAACCAAGAAATGAGATTTTATCAGGAAGGTCTATCGCTCCGTCTCATTCTTCCTCTCATCCAGATATCGAGGGGCCTATCAGTGACAGCTTTGAACAAAGGAGCACGACACAGAAGTTTTCATTGAAGGAATTTGAAGAGATGAGGTTGGAGAAAAAAAACATGCAAACGGAACTGTCTACTTGTACTGAATTGTTGGAAGGGACAAAACTTCGTCTAGTCGAAGCAGAACAAAGTTTGGCAGAGCTTAAATCTCAATTGGCTGCTAGCCAAAAATCAAACAGCTTGTCTGAAACACAGTTAAAGTGTATGGCCGAGTCCTACAAGTTGCTGGAATCACGCGAACAGCAGTTAGAAGCCAAAGTAAACATTCTACGTACAGAAGTACAAACATTGAACAATGAACTTGGTGAGGAAAAGCGTATTCATCAGGATGATTTGACCAAATTAAGAGATCTTCAAGAGAAGATCGAGAGGTTAGCTATTGTTTTGTAGACTTTGCTAAATATTGTAATTCAGAATAGTTGATTGCATGTTGGAGTTGGCATTTATTTAGTTGGTGCTGTTAATATATTTATTGTTCTTATTTTCTTATTTCTTTTCATTTTTTTTTAAATGAAGGAATGAAAATTGTTCAATGTGCTCAGATGCTGACAATGACAAGACAAAACAGGTAATGTGCATTCCTCGACTCCATCATGCAAGTCTTTTTGTTGAGCTAGGTCTATAATTTTTATTTTTTCTTCTTTTATATAAGAATGACATTGACCATTGGACCTTGTTAAAATAGTGCCAAGGTTGGTTCTTATAAGCCAATTTATGACTTCCTCTTTGAACCCACCAGTAGTGGTCCAAAATTTTCTGGTCTCTCTTATCCTAAATGGCTTACAGACTTTGCCAAAGGAAAATTTTGCTTTGCAATTAACTTTTATAAAACCATGTCTACTCATGTTTGTGCTTTTGTGACTTTCGAAAATTTTGCATGATGTTCTTTTCTTGAGTTTGACGACAACTTTAAATATGTGATATTTCACAAACTCGTGCCTTCAGGAAGGCTAGGGTTCGCATTCCTACTGTTTGTTGCTTTATCATCAGAAGCTCACAAATCGTTTCTTATCAAGAATGATGTTTGCAATTTGATTTTATTTTTTGCAATTGTTCACTACACTGGCATCAGAAAAGCACAGGAAACTGTTTTTGGACTGAACTAATTTGTGCTACTTGTTAATTTACATGAACCATTTGTGGCATGCCATCATCTTTAGATTCAGATAACAGAACTTCTAGTTCTTCTACACAACTTTCAAAGTGCCGTATGTTCTGTAATAGGAGAAAGAGATAGCAGCCGCTGCGGAGAAGCTTGCGGAGTGTCAAGAGACCATACTTCTGCTTGGAAGGCAATTGCAAACGTTGCGTCCACCAGCAGAACAATCAGATTCCTTTCCAAATAACAGAAATCACTTAAATGACTATTTCGAAGACGCACTGGACTCTACTGGCTTTAACACTCAAAGCATGCATAATTCAAGGTACATGGCATCTGAGACAGAAAGTGCTGCTGCTTTTGTGACACCAAGAACCGGTGGTGAATCCCCATTGGATGGATACAGCTCCCAGATTAGCCCATCCGACAATGAAGCAAGTCCATTTCCCAGATCACCTATCAACTCAAAGCATCAAAAGCATAGGTCTTCCAGGTCATCGTCTTCTACTTCTTTTCCTAATGCCTTGCCCGATAAGCAGGGTCGTGGTTTTAGCAGGTTTTTCTCCAAGACAAAAGGCGATCACTAATTTATGCTTTTGAGAAAACTTTTCTTTTGATGGATATTCTAAAAGAACTCTCCGCAGATTGATAAATGAGTGCACAGTGGTTGATCCACCAATTAATCTTCAAAGTTGAGCTCATAACTTGTAGTTTTCAGCCTTTAGGCGGGTTACGCTTGTTTTTGGTGGTAATTACCAAATCTACTTGCAATTGAGCCGCCCGCCTTCCTTGAAAGTTTGTTTGGATTGCAACTTGGAGCAACATCCATGTCCTCCATGATGATCAACAGTTATAATGGCAGTTGTGGGTTTACCAGACAAAAAATTCTGTACATTGTCGCGTGAAGACAACATTTTCCTGTTACGGTAGTAAGCATATAGTAAACCAACTATGTTCTTAGAACACCGATTGATGTATAGTAAACTGGCATAAATTATGTTTCTTTAAAGATTCCAAGTTTGGTTTGTGAATTCAATCAACGTTTGAAATCTCCATACCGATTTGTGATTGCTCAAAGTTTTCAGTTGTGAATTATTCATCACTTCTTCATGACTATCCTGTAATTGAAACAGACGATAATACCAGTAATACGATTGTTGTCGGCCTAAATAAGAAGCTCCACTGCCTGATATAGAGTAGCAGCATATCGAAGATAACAATGGGTTGAGAGATCGCCCACAGACGGCATGACAAGGCATCACGGCGTGGTACAAACCCCTTTTAACTAAACCAGAATGGAAACAATCATCTACCACAAGCTCTTGCAACCCGCAATGAATGCTCTTCACGTCCGTGTCTCCTCGCTGGAGTTCACGCCACATGACGATGGCGCTCTAGTGCGGGTGGAACACCACGCCTGTGGGGCTCTTGCTCGGTGCATGCAGGCGCGCCGGTGCCACGGCCTCCTGTGTCCCACATCGCCGACGGAGGAACATGCTGCGCCAACAGTCACATCCGGAACATGCATGACCAAGAAGTTGCTGCAGCTCCAACCATGCAATCCACCGACACCGCGTTACAGTACTTGCCGGGGAGTCACCAGGCACAGGAAAAGCTCCGCGCGCGGCGGCCGTACACGTAGGTGGAGGTCTGTGTCCGGCGCTGCATGCTTAATGTCGGGAGTAGGACATCGGCTGCCATGGATCTGTGGGCGAGCCGGCCACGTTTGTACAGCACAAGAGCGACCCCTTTGGAGCTCTTCAGTATGGCGAATTCGATGTGTTACGCCATTACAGCCACTCATTAGATTTGGAGGCCGTGGCTCCCGCGCACCTCGCGGTCAACACATGGGTTTCCTCCTCCTGTGGACCCATCTTGCCTTGTTAGATCTTCTTCGATATGTTTGGTATACCGTCTCCGGAAAGGCGATGTCTGCTTTGATAAATGTGCTCTTGCAGAGGCGTTGACATAGAAAGGCTGAAATGAACTCAGTTTGATGGACTTTCACCTCCTCAGCGAGAAAAGTTCGTACATGGCAAAGCAAATTTTAGCGGGCGTTGATATCTATAATTTGCTGCAACACCATTCACTACAGACACGATGATCCAATGACCACAAAAGCCACAGAAAGATCAGCACATCGTTATGATGCACGACAGGAGTTCACGAATCCAAATGTTTTGGCTCTGTTCATTGTAGAATACAGGAGTTCATCTACACTGTTCTTTGTAGAGACATTGGTTCAAGCATGAAACCATCTAAAACCGTAGCAACATGAAAGTTTTCGTCCACGATTGGAGATGTGTTGGTGTTATCGTATTGCTCGATACAAAGTTTTCAGAGGAAAAGAAATTTAGATACGGAAAAATATTAGAAATTGAAGTTTGCTGCTTTATAGATAACCTAAATTTCTCAAGGTTTTGATATCTGAAGATTTAAAGGAAGCACATTTTCCTAATAGAACTAAATATTTTATGTGAGAGGATACATATGAGATTTCGTAGACACTGCATACGACTTGTATCCAACATTAAATGCTTGATGATGATGGGACTCGTAGACATGGCATGGCCAGCGAAGGCTAGAAGAGGGACCTCTTGGAAGACGTTTAAGAGTGAAGAACTAGATTTTAGAGGTCTGCACAGCCACTCATTAGATTTGAGGACCCTAATGAGCTTCCACATCTCCAAACCCACCCATGGTTGTCCCCTTTGATGGAGCCTTTCTTCTTCGTTTCTTCGACGTGTTTGATGGTGCACCCACTAGTCATTTCTGCACTGAAGAACGTGACTTTACTGAGAGCTTCAAGCATAATTCTCATGGCTGATAGGAGTGTAACACGAGTTGCTGTGTGGTACTCGATGACCTATTTGAGCCATCAAAATCTCATGCATGGAAGAATGCACCCTACGTATCTATCCTTTTGATTATTGGCTTTCCTAAGGCAGCAATGTTTGACTGAGGATTAAGAAGGTACAAAAGAGTTCATTTTTAGAATCATCTTAATTTGTTATTTTGCTTCTTTTAGATGCAGGAAGAAGTCTTGGCCGACATTCCAAGCCTCTCATCATGTGTGAACCCTTTCATTCAGAGAGAACAAAAAATATATATATTTATTTTAGTATTATTTTCTATTAAATTATTATTATTGTTATTATTTCATGAACACCGACAACCCACAATGACTACTGGGTCCTTTGAATCAATGCCGGCTCAAAAATATTAGTGCATTCATGACTCCTTTGGTCAATTGGGATATTTTTGCCCTACAAACTCTATCAACACACAAAAAAAAAGGCTAAATTTATGGTCTCTTCTACTTAAGCTTCTTCCCATTTTTCGAATAATCATTCTTGTTCTATCAAATATGGAATCGGAATCAAATCGATTTCAAGCGATTCAGACTCCAATCAATTCATCGATTTCGATTGATAAAAAAAATAATTTTTTTATTAAAATTTAAACTAAAGTTAACATATTTTAATTTTAAAATATTAATAACTATGCTATGAAATATATTTATTTATTTATTTTTCATGTTTAACTGATTTGAAACCACTGTTGTGGTTTTGATTCCAATTTCTAGAGATCGGAATTGAACCGTCCGACTCCAATTTTGATCCGGTTCGACCGGGTTCTCTGCGGTGATTCGGTGAACCAAATAATATTAGTAGGCAAAGCTCAGAAGAAATCCTCCCCGTACGCGTGCGGTCGCAGCCTGTGATAAAGGGCAGCCAGAGACCAAACAGAGGGTTCCAAATTCCACATGCACTTGTCCCTGTTCTAACAGGAGATAGTGCTGTCACCGGAATCGATGAGTTGGAGAGGATGGATTTCTTTGACGATAGATTGGATTGGACAAAGAGAGAGAGAGGATGATAGATGCCACACAGGAGACCTGTGGAGGAGAGCAAAAGCGGGAGGAAGGATTCTTTCGCTGGAATGATTGAGATGCCCAATCACACTTGAAAAGGAAGAAGATCCGATCGTTCCAAAGGGATTGCAAAGAGAAAAGTTAACCAATGCAAATCCACCCCTTAATTTATAAGACTCGGTTGCGTTGTCAATCGAACGCAATAGGAGCTCATAATTTAAAGAGACAGGACGAGAGGCACAAACTGTTGTACTTTGATTCCAACAGCTAATATTAGGACAAATAATTGAGGAAAGGAACTTTCATGTCCATGGTTGCCGTTCTTTTCGCTTAATTAAGTCGCCCTCTAATGACTTCAAAGCAAAGGACAAAAGGTATTGGGTTCAAAGGGTCATCATCTCCTCTCTCTCTCTCTCTCTCTCTCTCTCTCTCTCTCATTCTTAGTCTTCAAACTTTAGAACCAAACCGCATGAGCATTTGGATTCTATTGAATCAAGAAAAATGTCGAACTTCCAGCCCTCTCCATCACCTCGAAATATATCGTAGGGGTTGGAAAGAAGAAAGAGAAAGCACAAAGCAGCAGAAGAAAACAAAAAGAGAACTCACCTCACACCGTTAAGCTTCGAGCTCTTATTGAATTTAGCCGAAGCTGAAAGAGGTCTTGATTTTTACTGCTAACTTGCTCAGCTGTTCTTCTATCCAACAAAACAAATGTTCCCACAGGATGTTCAGTCTACAGGTCTCATAGATGTACTCGATCCCAAACATAGAAACCTCTCATGCTTAATTTACTAAGCATGCAGCTTACGGGATTCATATATATGCTGCGTAAACTAAAGCTGGTGTGTTCTCATCGTCTTTGTAACGTTCATACAGTATCAGGAAACGAGTCACAGCATGAACAGACGGACAGAGAGAGAGAGAGAGAGAGAGTGCGTATGAACAGGGGAAGGTGCCCCCTCTGCTGTACTCCTTGCAAGTAAATTAATTAGTTCTCACAGGGCGGCAAACCGCGGGCACGCCGCTCGGAGATGTACAAATACAACCCACGCAGCGTAGGTTTCGATCGAGCAAGAACAGCTACATTCTAGTGAACCACCCCATCGGAATGGAGGCAAAAAAGAATAAACAAACGGAGTCCCGGATGATGGTGCATTGCCTCAACGAAGCATGGAGGTGAGGGAGCGGAAGACGACCTCCTCGCAGGGGATGGTGAGGCCCATGTCGTGGTCGAAGCCAAACTCTTCCTCGGCCTGCCGCAGCAGGCTCTGGAACTCCGGGTACGTGAGGTAGGAGATGGGCACGATGAACCGGCTCCGGCTCTCGCCCACGTACACCGCGAAGTGGCCCTTGGGCACGTCCGCCGGCTGCTGCCTCCTCCCCAGGCTCGAGCACCTCTTCAGTATCTGCTTGATGGCCGCGGCCTGCGGCAGCTTGTTCGACCTCCGGAACGCCATCTCCTTGCAACGGTTACTTCCAAACTCCAACCCTTAGAACTCGGGGGATTTTACAGCAGGAGAAAGCTACGCCTGCCGCTTTGCTCGGCTGTGGGTTGAGCGGAGAAAGCCGGTGGTGGATATATAGGAGAGAGGCGGGGAGGCCGAGAGGAACAAGAGCATGTGACGGGGGCGAGAAAGGGAAGGACAGACCACGGGTGCGTTGGGCTATGTGTGTGTTGACGCGGAGGACATGCGGGGCCGCTCCATTAAAATCACCTTGTTGTCCTTGTTGAGGACGAACTGGTCCTCCACTTCCCACCACCACTGCCAATCACCATAACAGTTGCTTTGGCGTTGGATTTGAATCAGTTTCCATGTGCCCGAGAGCTCCGTCACGACGTGGAACACACAAATGAACCCCACCGTGTCAGATCCCAACATGTTGCCTGTACCACAAGTGGGATCGAGCTAAGAGTACATGTCATTTTTCGCAAGTCGATCATCTAATTGTTGGATAATCTTGGAAATCTGGATAAGAATTATGGCCAGCGGAGGTGGCGGTTATCACGGAGGACTTCCGGTATCACAAGACACTTGCTAGCAATTAATCACATAGTTTCAAGTGGTCAACAGACTTTGACTAATCTCATCAGGATATTTCCTGGTCGCCGGTTAGTGCAACAATTTTAACTCAGGTTAACCAGTGCAGGTAGAACCTATACAAAGATCGAGAGCTATAAATGTTGGATCTTTTCATGCCTACAACCGCACTAGTTGTTCAAGATCTTTTCTTTTTGGTCATTTAGGCTCACCCATTTTTCACCAACAAGATCTTTATGCTCTGCAGGCGATCGATTTTGGAAGGTACGAACAAGTTGTTCACTAGTCCTTGGTCCACTGTCAGCGTAGGCCATGAGATCTACCAAGCTTTTAACCATCTTCTGCCATCTTTGTGCTGGTCTGCCACATTGCCTCTTTAATTTAGCCACTTGCCAAACTTGTTATATGACTCCAGAAATCCTTTCTTCGAGTATTGACCATCTTAGCTTTGATTGTGGAGAAACTCCTGGGTCGTACGAGATGTACACCTTCTTCCTTTTCATCATAGCACTATATGGGCTATCATCAGCACCAACTTGTAAAGATTCTCATCAAGCCCCAAGGATGCTTTCATCAAGAACAAATTAGGCCTTCCACACATAGTCACCATGAACCAAGTACAATCCCTCTTGTCCCATCTAAAATATCTCAACCGATCGGCTTCAGAAGTCACACTGCTGAGGCAAACATCTAAAGGTTTTTCATGCTAAGTAGTAGAGTCCTAAAACAATATAGCTCTTCCACACGGTGATCGAGCAGGAGGCGTTCTCGGTTCGTCCTTTCTCCCCACGTTATGATGGGCAGCGAGAAGAGGAGGTGAGGTGAGACTGTGGCTCAGCTTTCAGCACATGGCGAAGGTCAGGGCATCACAAGTCGAAGAAGGAAATAAAAACAGAAGCAAGCTGGTACTGTCACGTACGTACCGCTGCAGCCTTGCATGCAATGACTGCCCATGGACACTTTGGTCACCCACCCCACCAACCCAAAAGGGATCAGCTGATTGATAAAAAACCCGCACCTAGTTTCTCTGATAAGTCATGATATACCATAGTTCATTTCTTTCTGCTGGAAGAACAAATCTGTCTTCTACTGTAACTTTAAGGCCGTCCCATCGGTGACAATTTTAGTCGCCCGTTCTGGGCCCAGATTTATCTCTGTGAATTTAGCCCGTAAGTCTGATCCTGGCCCATTGTTAAGCCTACTGTTGTACGAAAATGAAACCTTGGGATAAGGCCTCTTGCCAAGAATAGTTAGCAACAGAGAGATGAGTGATTTACGATGGAAATTTTGACAGGGCTTGGAGCGAAACAGTGGAGCTTTTTAGAGTTTACAGGGATCAATTGCAGTGGACAACCTTTTTCTTTTTTCGAGTTAAAAAGCTTAGAACATATGCACGTATTTCCAGTTATCTTGTAACACTCACTATTCACGATTATGGAAGGCCTCCAGCTCTACGAAGTCCAACCAGCTATGTGCTGTACGAAGTCTTGGCGAGCTTGTTCTTATTTTGATGGACCAGCATAAAGGTATGTATCTATCATTCATCTTCCCTTGTGGCTCTCCACTGTGCCTCTTCCGAAATGAGGAGATGAACCAAAAGAACGTACAGAGTAATATCTACTTCAAGGCACCTATCGCCACCACCAACAACTGTACTCGCTTCCATTTACAGGAAATAAGACAACCCAATCACTGCACCGCCCATGAATCCAGAACCATTACGCTGCCCACATGGTTCCCTGCACCCACCCCTCCCCTCCCTCCCGGCCCCCTTTCTGATAGCATAACACATCCGGTGTATATTCAGGTCCTGGTGTTTGATTTTCGATTAGCCTATATATCTCTTAGTGATCAGAGCTTGTCCACCTTCTTGTTTATTTCCTATCTGCACTGTTCATCTGATGATTCTTTGCTCCCCAAGTTTATTCTTTCCCATCCCGTATTTCAAGCGTCATCTCTCCCTCTGTGCTTCTGTCCTCCTCCAGCGTTGGCTCACATGTTTCCTCTGGGCAGGCGGGTGGGAGCCTGCCTCCGCAAGCTCATCAAAGCCATGGCGTGCAAGGGAAACGGAGCAGAGGCCAGGAGTGTCCGCACGAACTTCAACTGGTTGTCGTCGTCCTCCGAAGCGGCCATGGAGATATCCAGCCAGCTGAAGGAAGTGTTCCGGCTCATCGACTCCAACGGCGACGGGAAGATATCTCCTCCGGAGCTCTGTGACTTGCTGCTGTGCATGGGCCACGAGCGGGCCACGGCCGCGCAGGAGGCTGAGGTGATGGTGCGAGAGGCAGACTGCAACGGGGATGGCTTCATTGACCTCGACGAGTTCATGGAGGCCGTCGGCGGAGGAGGGAGCGGAAGCGGCGGCGATATGTCCGGTAGCAGAGAGGAGCTGATGGAAGCCTTCCGGGTGTTCGACGTCGACGGGAACGGGTTCATCTCCGCCGAGGATCTAAGGAGGGTACTCGTCCGTTTGGGCCACGGCAAGTGCAGCCTCCGGGAGTGCCGGCTCATGATCAGAGGCGTCGATAGGAACGGCGACGGCCTCGTGGACTTCGACGAGTTCTGGTCCATGATGACCGCCGGCGCATGTTGGAAAGTGTGTAATTGATATAGGAAATTTGCAGCTACTAGTTTAGCAAGGCAAGTCGTAGCTAGAAGTCTACAAAAGAAAGGATGAAAGGGAAGCAAGTCTTCTTTGATGACTTGGTCAATCCAGGTGTGTCCTCTTCTTCTTGTGTATTTTATGGGCTGGCGTTGCAATCCAGAGAAAACAAGCAAGGATATGTCAGCATCACTCACAAGGAGGTAGTCTGCTGCAATCTAGTTTGTTCGACTTTTGCATCCACTAGATTATGAGCCAGTAGTTCTATATACGTTGAGCAGGCTGCATGATTCTTCTTTTTATCGTCATTCTTGCATCGGTTCATTCCCATTCGAATTCACTTCTGCGGATCCTGATAGAATCATCGCTGCCCGACCGAAAGCATCCACGGCAGAAATATATGTCCATCGCAGGAGATGAGCCACTAGTGATTTGGTATGGCATCTGGTGATGCGAAATGGTTGGTCGTCTTCCCCATGTGTCAAGTGACGGACCCATAGGGCTCAATATATTCGTGGGACAAGTCGTGCGATTCGTGGGCTTAATATAAATAAAACCCCGATAAGGGTTACGGATTTGCAGCGCCTTCGCTTGTGCCGACCCAAGTCGCGACATGCTGCGGTGGCACACCCCAAGGGGAGAGGGAGGGATGGGGTCGGATGGAGATGGTGAGCTTCTATACCATCTGTCGTAAGTTAAGTCTGTTCTCAAGTGGCAACTTAAGTTGGTTCTCGCGTTTGGGCGAACTGCGTACTCTCACCGTCTTACGCATCCACTAAACTATGGGGGCCCATTCACTCCTGGTTTCTCTCCCCTGAAAAATGTACGTAGATTTAAGTTATACGATACAGAGCTAAGAAATGTATTATTGGATTTTTCTCCTCGTCATTTACTGCGTTATCTTTACTTTAATAGGGCTGGCAAAGCAGCCATAATTACGACGGCGCCCTTCCCGTCTTCGTCGACGCTATTCGGTAACGGTAACAGATCATTATCCGTCCATTTCGAATTCAACGTCCCAGATCATATAGCAGCCCAATAAAGTTCACAAAACGGTATCTCCATTTCAAATCAAAACACCTCCATTTCGAATCCTTTTTTGCCCCTTCTCTCTCTCTCTCTCTCCCTCTCTCTCACACTCGGCGATCTCTGACGGCCAAATCTTGCAGCGAAACTCAGCTTCGCTTTCCTTTGGTTCTTGCATCGATCCCATCTGAGCCCTCTTCAGGTACGCCTCGTTCCGAGATCTCTCTCTCTCCTCCCTCCCCTCCCCCCCCTCCCCTCTCTTTCCTTCTTTTAGCTTAAATTTCTGTTGAAATTTGCCCTATGTTGTTGATGTTTCGAAGATCTCAAGATGGGCGCTCCTCAGCACAATTTTATCTCATCTAGGCTCATACATTCTATGAAATGCTTCTTTGTTTTGATGTTAATATAATGCAGTGATTTGGTTTTGGATGGTTGGATAGTCGGACGTCTTGTTTCGGCTTCGCGGATGGTTTCGGCATCCAAGTAGCTTTAATTTTGTTTTTTTCGAATTGATTTTACTGGAACCTCTCACTAGCGGAGCGAATTGATTTTTGATGCAGTGATTGTAGGTTTCCATTGTTGTCTCTGCTTCTTCTTTAACTTACTCTTTATAATCCATACTCGATTTGACCACTAGTTTCCCCTTAACTTATTAATGTACCCAAATAATTTTGCTGCATGAGGAAAAAAGCTAATCTTGAACATAAATTACTTGAAAAAAATGACCTATCAGTTATTTTCCTCCATTTGTTGTCGTGTAAATCTTGAACATATATGCACCCTTTACTTCGCCATTGCAGACATTTTGGATCTCTCTTTCCTGAACTAATTCCTTTTTCTTCGATGAAGTAAATGCTTTTTATGGACACGTATTCTTTTTGCAGGTCAAATTGGTTGCATGGCTCGTCTATCTAGCGATCAGCTGTTACAATTGGAAACAGCATGTGGATCTATTCTATATGAGCTTCAGGTTTTCAGTAGCTCCACTAGCTTGTTATATAAAATGTTGTTGTTGAACATTGTTATAGGAGGAACATAAATTATGAATAATATCCTGATCATTGCAACTACTCACTCTCACTGCAGTAATTGTTTCCACAGCATTATATGTAACAATGTTGCTTTTGAGGACATCAGTAGCTGGCATATTAATTCATTCAACCTGGTTCATTAATTGTATTGTATCAGATTATATGGGATGAGGTTGGTGAATCTGATGCTGAAAGGGATAAAATGCTCCTCGAACTAGAACAAGAGTGCCTGGATGTGTATAGAAGAAAGGTCGACCAGGCCAACCGTTGTAGAGCTCAGCTGCGACAGGCAATTGCTGACTCTGAAGCGGAGCTTGCAGCCATCTGTTCCGCATTGGGTGAGCCACCAGTACACATTAGACAGGTGTGTCTCAGTTCATGCTTTTGCTATCAGACTTTAGCACTTTCCTGGGTTTAAAATTCTTGGAATGCCAAAACTGATGGATAATTATCTGATGTTGCTTGATCCTATGTTTGTTTGCTGCGATTCTTGTCAGTGCATTGCTAGAGTGTAGGTGCTATCCTGCATAAGTAGCTTTTCTAATTTTGAAGCTTTCGATGGGGGGGAATGTATTACGCGTCTCAATTGTATTTGCAGTCCAATCACAGAACGGGAAGCTTAAAAGAGGAGCTCAAGTCCATTGGCCCACAGCTAGAGGAGATGCGAAAGAGAAAAGTTGAGAGATGGAATCAATTTTTAGAAGTAATAGAACAGATAAGAAAGATCTCATTTGAGATCACGTCTTCTGAAGGCAACCAATCGAAGTTGGCCGTGGATGAATCTGATTTATCTGCAAGAAGGCTTGAAGACTTGTACAGACAACTAGAGTCACTTCAGAAGGAGAAGGTCTGAAGTGAACTCCTCTGGATCACATTTCATTTGCATAATCGTCAACAACATCACTCATTTGTTCTTGTAACAAATTAACTTTCTTCTGTTACAGAGTGATCGCTTGAAGCAAGTGATGGAACACTTGTCTACCCTGAATGCATTATGTTCTGTGCTTGGAGTTGATTTTAAAGAAACAGTAAGAGAAATACACCCTAGTTTGGATGAATCTGAAGTACCAAAGAGCGTAAGCAATGCTACAATCGAAAGGCTATCCATTGCCATAGGGAGATTGCGAGAGATTAAAGTAGAAAGGATGCAGAAGGTAATTGATGCTACTGAGAATGACAATCCTTATCTTACTTGTGCTATAATTCATATTGCGACATTGATTTATGGCAGCTTCAAGATCTTGCCTCTACAATGTTGGAACTGTGGAATCTTATGGATACACCAATTGAAGAGCAACGACTGTTTCAGAATGTGACCAGTAATATAGCTGCTTCAGAATCAGAAATTACCGAGGCCAACACTCTTTCACCGGACTTCCTCAATTTTGTAAGTAAGCAACTACAGCCAAATTTGCTCGGTTGCAGTGATATGTTAGTTATAGGAGCACAATTTTGATGTAGGTGGAGGCAGAAGTTTTGAGACTTGAACAGCTAAAAGTAAGCAAGATGAAAGAGCTAGTCTTGAAGAAGAAAACGGAACTGGAAGAGCTTCGTCGACGAGCACATCTGGTTGCAGAGGCAGAAAATGATGCAGAACTTGCAATCAGTGCTATCGAATCTGGTATCTGTTGATATTTCTGTAATTTCGTGCTATCGAGAGACGGCTCCTTAGCTTAAACTTGGTCTCCAATTCTTTGTGTTGCAGGAGCCATTGATGCCTCTTTAATTCTGGAACAGATAGAGGACCAAATCTCAACAGTTAAAGAGGAAGCATTCAGCAGGAAAGATATTCTCGAAAGGGTAGAGAAATGGTTACCCGCATGCGAGGAGGAGGCCTGGCTGGAGGAATACAATAGGGTCGGGAATCTGAGAAAAATGGTAGCTGTACACTTTTGCTCTGTTCTGTGACTGACATTCTTTTCTCCGATCTATTGCAGGATGAGAACCGCTACAATGCTGGAAGAGGCGCACACTTAGCACTCAAGCGTGCTGAGAAAGCTCGTGCTTTGGTCAACAAGATTCCAGGTTGATATATATAGACATCTAAGACCAAATACGATTTATATATCTGCATCATGGAAGTTCTGTGACTTCATTTGCTACTTGCTGTATCTTGAGCAGCAATGATAGAGACTCTGGCAGCCAAAATCACACAATGGGAGAAAGAAAGAGGCGTTGAATTCACATACGACGGCGTGAGCATTTCCTCACATGTTTGTTGGTCGTTGATGGTCTTATTAGGAATCCGATCTCCAATTGCTTCTTTCTACCTTGTAGGTGCGTCTTCTGTCAATGCTGGAAGAATACACCATAGTCCGGCAAGAGAAAGAGCAAGAGCGCAAGCGACAGAGGGTTAGCTTTTTAACACAATGATATTATAGTGGATCAAGTCAGATATTTGTGGCTCGGGATTAACACACAGTAGTACAATTCAGGACCAGAAGAAACTCCAAGGTCAGCTCATAGCCGAACAGGAAGCTCTCTACGGTTCAAAACCCAGCCCTTTAAAGCCTCAAAGTGCAAAGAAACTTCATAGAACATCAAATGGGGGTCCAAGCCGAAGGCTGTCTCTTGGTGGAGCAGCAATGCAGCCTCCTCCCAAGCCTGACTATTTGCATTCCGCAAAGTCTGGACGCTCGACGAAGAAGATAGATGATCTGGGCACCCTTTCCCCTGGTTAGTTTCTTGAATCTCCAGTAGCAATACGACAATCTTTCCCAAATTTTACAATGAACGAGGTCTGTAAAGTCGAGCTCTTGTTTGTATAGGTGCAAGGGGCCTAGATATTGCTGGCCTTCCTATGAAGAAGCTATCCTTCACCGCGCATCAAGAAATGGGTGCGCCACGAAAACCCTTTGCTCCCCTGGCTCCGGTCAACCACATTCCATCGACACCGTCGAGGCCCATTACCTTTGCTTTTGAAGATAACATGACGTCAAAGGGATTGACGTCGACGCCCAGAACTCCAGCTGCAGCGCCATTGGCAACACCATCGAAGCCCATTTCCAGTGCTATCGAAGAGAACGCTAAGCCCATTATTACCATGACGTCAAACGCAATGCCGGCCCCAACACCCAAAACTCAAGCTCCAGCGCCAATGCCAACACCGTCGAAGCCCATTACCGGTGCTGTCGAAGAGAACAAGACATTGACCGCAATGCCAGCCCCAACCCCCAAAACTCCTGCTGCAACGCCAATGCCTATGCAGGTGGCCACAACGCCTGCTCCGACTTGCCTCAGGGTAGCACCGGTAGAGGAGTTAGAGTATTCATTTGAGGAAAGGAGGCTTGCTTTCTATCTCACTAGATAAATGAGCTACGTAATCATTATATGAACGCTGGTGCCCAACGCTTTGCGGGACACATCTTTGTTCTAGTCTGTAGTTGATTCAAAGTCGATTCTTCTCGACTTTTGTCAATGTTTACCAAGAATTCTCTTTCATATTCATTGATGATCGAGATCCATTACAGTCGCCGCTGGAATAATAGAGTGCTGGACTCCGTGAACATTTTACATCCACAAGTTATCAGGGAATAGGGAATAGGATATTGATCGTCATATTCACATCTCTATAAATTTTTACTTTCACTCTCTAAAGAAATTAATCCACCCTCAAGATATTAGTGCTAACCATGTAGGTATCAATCGAGATAACTCCTCAAATCTTTTGATGTATTTCTTCACCGATTGATCCTCTTGTCTGAGTTTAATAAATTCTATCCTTTTGGTTTACCGGTAGGCTATACTAAAATATTTATGATAAAAGATTTTCTTAAAATCTTTCCCAGATCATTTGTTCAACATCTAAATGACCATTTCTTACCTCCCACGTAGTATATAAGTTGCACAAATAATCTTATATTTATTTAGAATCCTTCAATATTTCTTATTCGCTTAGTGGATCATTCTTTCTAAACCTATCACTTGCTAATTCTATATCATGTTCCCGAGTTGCTACAACACATCCTCTTCTCCTTGGGCCAATAACTATTCTAGTTGTCGAGATTGCCTCTCCACCAAATCTATTAACCTATTAATCACTACATCTATTTGATCTTTTGTGTAAATATTTTTCTACCATCGAGTCTCCTTTGGAATATTATTAGGGTTATTAGCTTAACTAATCGTAGTAATCATATCATTTTTTTTCTCCTATATTATTTTTGGAGGTGAGAACACACAAATACACTTAACAACTAATTTATTCATAAAAAATAATTAAATGGCACTTCAAATGTTTTTGTCTTGGGTATGACCCTATAACAAAACATTTTGATTAAGTTAGACATTTTTTTAACTTAGGTAAATGCGTTTAGCTCAAGATTAAGTTAGATATTTTGATTGTACTAAGGGATGTTTTGGCTCCGTTATGTCTGTTGGGGATGGAGGAGCAAGGAAAAAATAAAATACTACGATACGAGTAAAAAGAATCCTATCGATTCAAGAAAACAAATGCACACACTCTCTATATACCTTGCTTCATGAACTATGGTCCTATTTATAGGACCTTGTGCTAACCACCCTATAACTAATATATCATGATTGACGTAGTTATTGAAACCACCCTATAACTACTAGATCATGATTGAGATAGTTATTGAAATCACCCTCTAACTACTAGATCATGATAACTACCTAGATAACTATGAATCAAATCCCAACACTCCCCCTTGATTCATAGTTGCATACACCGATTTGCGACATGAAATAAACATGCTTTTGAACCGAAAGCGACTTGGTGAGAATATATGCAACTTGTTCATTTGTTCCACAATACTTCATTGTTATGGCTCCACTTGCTACAAGATCTCGGATGAAATGATAGCATATCTCTATATGCTTCGTTCTTCCATGAAATGTTGGATTCTTCGTCAATGCAATTATTGCTTTATTGTCACAAAATATTTTCATTGCTTCTTTTTGTTCTTGATGAAGATCTTCAAGAAGTCTTTTAAGCCATATTGCTTGACAAGCTGTTGATGTTGCAGCTACATATTCTGCTTCCGATGTTAATAACGCAGTTGTTGCTTGTTTTTTAGAACTCCAACATATAGCTCCCGATCCGAGGCTAAAAACATTGCTGAAGTACTCTTTCGATCATCTAAAGCTCCCGCCCAATCACTATTAGTGAAACCAAATAATTTACATTTAAATTTTATTTTGAACACCCATTTTAACCCAATAGGTTTCTTTTCTTTCGGTAGATCCATTAGCTCCCAAGTTTCATTCTTCTCAATTGACTTGATTTTCTCCTTCATTGCTTTTCTCCATTCCTCTTTTTCAACCGCTTCCTTAAAAGTTGTTGGATCTAAAATAAACAAAGCAAATGTTGAATTATAAATTTCTATTAGTGATCTGAAATTTCTTGGAGGGGTTTCATATGAGGAATCAGAATTTGAACGACTATTGGGTGAGGTTGACAATGAACTTATTGGAGCAGGATCTGTCATTTGATTACGTGGAGTGTCTAGTTCTGTTCGAATCTGCATTTGTGTTTCACCTTTATTAGTATTCCAATTCCAACTTGTCCTTTCATCAAACATAATATTTATGTTAATAATAACTTTGCTACTAAAAGGATTATATAATCAATATGTTTTCGATTGTAAGGAATAACCAATTAAGATGTATTTTTCAAAATTTTCATCAAGCTTGTGATGATTTTATAAATTCACCAGAGCATAAGCAATACAATAAAAAATTCTTAGATGTCTAACACTTGGTTTCATACCATACCAAGTCTCAAAAGGAGTTTGATTCATAACAGCCTTTGTTGGTGAAATATTCAATAAATAAATTGTTGTTGCAACTACTTCCGCCCAAAACTGATTTGGAATTTGTTTTCCTTTAAGCAAACTTCTTGCCATTTCAATAACAGTCTGATTCTTACGCTCAGCTACACCATTTTGCTCCGGTGTATATGGTGCTGTCAATTATCCATGAATACTATTTTCTTTACAAAAAGAACTAAACTTATTAGATAAAAAATCACCACTTCTATCTGTTCGAAGTGTCTTTATATATCTACCACTTTGCCTTTCTATAAGTGCCTTAAACTTTCAAAAATTATCAAATGTTTCAGATTTCAATTTCAGAAAATATACCTAACTCGTGCGGCTATAATCATGAGTAAACAATAAAAAATATTGATTTCCACCAAATGATTTTGTATTCATAGGTCCACATAGGTCAGCATGAATTAATTCAAGACAATTAGATGCTCTCTATGATTTTCTAATAAGAAATATCATTTGATATATGATTAGAATATCTACTATCTAGAAACCAAATATCATTTGAGATATCATGAACTTGTGAATGAGTCATAAACAACTTACTATTTTCTTCATTTTCCTCCACGTAGCTTGCTTGTTTTTCTCTTTTCCAGCAATCTGCCTTCATGTGATCAAACTTTTTACAATAGTGACATTGAATTCCACTCTTATAATTTTTTTGATCATAATTTGATTATCTTTGCTCATCATGCCCATCAAAGTATCCTCTTTCTCTTCCATTTCCTCTACTACGAAATCCTCCTCTGTCACGTCCTCTTCATACTGATTTTTTATCTTCTTTTGAAGTAGAATACTCCCCCTTAACCTGAAATGCTTTTTCTTCACTTTTTTCAAGTGATCTGTTCAACTTTACTTCATATGCTTGCAAGGAACCCATTTGTTCATCAAATGAATATGTAGATAAATCTTTTGATTCCTCAAAAGCAGCAACATGATTAAATTTTGGAGTTAAACTTCTCAAAACTTTTGCAACAATTATATGATCAGGAAGATGTTCACCATAAGATTTCATTTGACTAACAATTTCAGTCACTTGAGAAAGAAAATCTTGTACCGATTCATTGCTTTTCATGAATAAAATTTTAAACTCACGACGAAGGATTTGAAGTTTTATCGTAATCACTCTTGATGAGCCTTGAAATTCATTTTGAAGTATCAACCAAGCTTACTTTGAGATTGTCGCTGCTGCAATTCTTGAGAAGATTATCTCATGTACAGCTTGTTGAATGAAGAACAATGTCTTTGAGTCCTTCTTTCTATTCTCCCTCAGCTTGATTTCATCATTTGGATCCGCATATCCATTCTCTATTAAGTCCTAAAGATCTTGAGACTTGAATAGAGTCTTCATCTTGATACTCCAAAATTCATAACATTTGCCCGAGAAGATGGGGATAAGGGGTTGAGACATGGAATTGTCATTGAAAGTCATAATGTCCAGTTCAGATTGAAACTAGGCTCTGATACCACAAATGTTGGGGATGGAAGAGTAAGAAAAAAATAGAATACTACGATACGAGTAAAAAGAATCCTATCGACTCAAGAAAACTGATGTAGTATTTAAAAATAGAAGGATTGATAAGAACACTTACAAGATACCAAATGCACACACTCTCTATATACCTTGCTTCATGAACTATGATCCTATTTATAGGACCTAGTGCTAACCATCCTATAACTACTAGATCATGATTGAGGTAGTTATTGAAACCACCCTATAACTGATTATGATTTAGATAGTTATTGAAACAACCCTATAACTACTAGATCATGATTGAAATAGTTATTGAAATCATCCTGTAACTACTAGATCATAATAACTACCTAGATAACTATGAATCAAATCTCAACAATGTCTAATACTTCGAATATTTTTTTTTCTTTTAAATTGATACAATATGTGTAATATATGGATATATTACATGCAAATAGAATATATTTTTTTTCTTCTTATCTTGACGGATATATCACAAGGGGACACTTTCAGTTATATTAATATATGAGATGCTTTATATGCTCTATTATTTTAATAAAAAACATCATATGTCAGATGCTTTAGATGATTTATTTTTTTAAAATAAATATATTATGCACAAGGGGATGCATGGTAATATCGATTGAACGCTTCATAAGATTTTTTTTTATCTTAAATAGACGCATTATAAAAGATGTTTTATTTACATTGAATATTTTTAAAAAAAATTTATACAAACTTTAAAAACTTTTAATCTTTGATGAATATATCACACATAAAAGAACACTTAAGACCATATTAGGTGATAAAAACATAAATAAACCTTTCATATAATAATGTTGTCTATATTAACAAAAGTGAAAGGATGACATGATGGTGAAAAAAACTTTAATCTTTTCGAAAAAAAAAATGTGAACATGACCATCTTTAAGCCAAATGACCTATGGAAATCGGAGTTTGGTGACGCTTAATTTGTCAACATGACCATCTTTTTAAGGTGAAGCTAACTTGAGGATCAACTTAATTGACATGATTGACTTGAAAACACAATTGACCTAGAAATGTGTTTGTTGTTAGCACCAGTGATGGGAGATCTAAGCATATTTTGACTTTAGGGTCACCCGAATTTGCAATAGTGTATCTTTAGTGATTAGTTGTCATGTTTTTATTTTAATTAAATAGATTCGGATTCCCCATGGATTATTTACCATTATGTTCTGTCCACAACATGTGTCCTATTCAGGAGGTGAGTGTTCATAAATACGAAAGACTTCTTGAGATGTAAAAGAGGTAATGTGAAAATTGCAGTTTGTCTTTCTTTAAACAACGTTGTCTTTCTTTTTCTCTAATACGATGGCTTTAATTGTTATCCATTAATTTGCCATTAATAATAGGTTAAGATACATAGTTAGGCATTTTTGTTGACCATCAATCATAGAAACCATGATGGTCTTGGATACTTTATAAAGGTATGAATTAGTAAGAAATGTTGTGGATTGTCACCGAGTTTTGTTATGAATTTTTTCGGAACTCCTATCAATTGTTAAAAAATGTTATTGATACTGTGTTTCATTTCGTGTTATTTTATTTTAAGTGATTGAAAAATCCATACATGTGAAGATATTAAGTCTGATATTGAGTTTCAATCGATTTGAAATTGTATGTATTTTATTTAGATATGATAGTATGAACATTTTTATTTATTAGAAGATATTCATGTGTGAAATAAGATTGAAAAAGACGGGTAAGAGACTAATCTCACCCTAGTAAATATCGAAAGAGATAGATGATATATATCCGAGTCTAGTCCAAAATCTATCGGCTTAAGTTTTTAAACCGAATTAATGTTTGATCCATTATATGTTAGCCAAAGTTCGTAAACAAAAAGAAAAAGTCAAAAAGTTAGACCGATAGAGAAAGAGAATTGAGTCAAAAAAAGATATTTGTGTGAGGAGAGATTGAAAAAGATGAGTAATAGAATAGTCTCATATTAATAAATGATATATATCCGAGTCTAACTCATAACATATTATCTTAGGCTTTAAATTAAATTGATATCTGACTCAATATATATTTATTATCCTAACTAGTTTGACTTAATGGATTCCTCACACTATTGGATTCAGAGATACTATTCACTGAGATCAATCTAACTTTATACTCGTCTTTTGAGGTTACTCTTCTCCCAAAGTAGCAGAGGAGCCAATAACCCTTTTAATCCACAACATAACATTAGAGATTTGGCAATCACTTGTATAAACATAATTCAAGAAGAATAATCTTGCCGTAGCCATATGCTTACCAAAACATTAGAGTTTTGGCAATCGAATGCATCAACATGCTTGCACAAGAGTGGCATCCACGGTCACCGATGACATGATCAACACTCCAAATTTGAGCTCCGTCTCCCTCCCAACATGAACTTATTTGAGATGATTCTTCGCTGTTCACAGTAGCCGCAGCGAAATTATGGGATCATTTTCCTAATAAAATTGTATTAATTCTTAATTTTGAAGAGGGTCTCCGATTCAAATTCTTGGATGACGTCTAAGACCGAATGGTGAATCTTGCACTCCATCGTTCTTTTATGGAAATATACCTAAAACGAGGCACAGCAACATGGTGGGACAGTGCCCTTTCTTTAAGAACCATCCATCCCCATATTGTCATTCGACAATGCTACTACTTTATCCTTGTCCCCATTCTCGACTCAATGTTAATTACTATAGCATGATCCTTAACCTATTACCAAATCGACGATTTTATTACTTCATACATGCACGTGAATAACCTATAGGAATTATCATATGTTTTTAGCTGTATATTTGCAACCATAGATAGGAACCTCAACGGAGATCATCTTGCACCATTCCCAATTAGAATCACTTTACTGATATGAAGGGTTTCGCCAAATCCCTCCTTCCTCGGAGCATTCTCAGTGAACGAAGCAAGTCATATATATTAAGCATGTCAGTTGTGGAAGGTAGCAATCTTGCCTACTCGATGTCGTTTTCCACAACAACAATGGCAGAGAACCGGAAAGCAAGGGCATAGCAGCGGTGCAATAATAGAATAAGGTGTGAGCAAAGCGTTGCTTGAGGCTTCTTCTCATGTCGCCTGATGGTTGTACACAACAACAAAGCAGCGTCACCTTTTAGTCTTCTCCCGGACAGGTGTGTCCGACTGAATGAAACTGATATCTATTGGAACATTCATGATAATGCTTCTTCACATTTCCCATGCCACAATAGCCTTTTTGATGCGAATGTCTTAGTCGTCCAGCTTGTTGTTCGTCGAACGATTGAGATTAAAACTAAGTTGCTCGGTAATGAAACAGCAGCAAAAGGACTAACATCATAACTCTTTAGGTCATATGAGCAGGTTAATTTGGATCCTTCCATCCATGGTCAAGAAGCACATCACCTGAAATAGGCAACGCCTGCCTCATCACAGTGTGTTTTGTTACTTGGAGACTGGTGGGGGTTCGCTGGTGGCCGTCCGTTGCCTATCGAGGAGCTCCCTGGCCAATGCCTGGAGATCGCCACCTCCAAACCCAGAGCTCTCAGAAAGGTTCCTCGTGCTGGTGCTGAGCTGCAGCTGCTGCTGCTGAAGAGGCCATAGTGGCTGGACCAGAGGGTCAAACAGTGCCGACAGGTCCACGGTGGAAGGCAGGTTCGCGGCCGATGGCAGGTCGGATATCGAGAAGGGCATCGATGCCACGAGCGACGGCGGAGGGGGTGGCGGAGGAGGGGACGGCAGCTCCAACGTGGCCAGATGGGCTTGTAAGTAGGACAGCTCTGCCTGCAGGTTGACTACCTATTAAAGCACAACGATTCGATTACTCCACAAATGTAGCCAGATCGAATCATGGTTGGTGTAACAATCGATCACGATAAAGAAAGCATATCGACGATCGGTGATGACTGCAGTAAAGGAGATGAAAGCATGCACGATGTTGCTAGAACAGTAAAATTCCAACTTGTCAGTGTACCAGAGGATAAGTTCGATCCGAACCCAATGCCACGTAAGTTTATATCATCATAGGATCCAGAAGAACACAACAAGAGTAAGATTGAAATGCTTGAGAAAAGAGAGTTATCCGTAGGAATGAAATCGAGCCAACCAAATTAGATCATCATCCGTTTGCAGAGTTCCTACCACAACGATACTATGCATGCAAACCGTATCGGAGATGGAGTGGACACAAAATTAACACCAGTGCGGGAGTATGCACCTGTTGTTGGAGGGCGAAGATGTGAGCGACGCAGCCGTAGACGGGGTCGCGGAGGCGCGCCTGGGCCTCGTAGCAGATGGTAACGACGGCATCGAGCCTCTTGTGGGCGGGGATGTGGAGAAGGAGCTTCGACACGTTGCTGGCGCCGAACACCTTGTGCACCGCCGCAAAGTGGGCGGCGCCTTGCTCGGAGTCGAAGTAAGGCGCAAATATGCACCCCGTCACACACTTCCTCCTCAGGAACTTACACGCCCCGCAGGGTCCGGTGCCACCACCCGCACTTCCACCTCCCCCTGATCCGCCGCCGCCGCCGCCACCGGCGCCCCCACTTCCTCCCCCCAATACTCCCACACTAGGGCTTTTGCCACTCATATCACCTGATTGCCTCCTCCTCCTCCTTTTCCCTGCTTTCTGTTTACTTTCAGGTTGGTGTCCTAATCATACAAGATGAATTGATTGCTTCGGTAGTGAAAGGATTGAGGATGGACAGAAGAAAACAAAGGGAAGTTATAAGATTGATGGATAGGGAGGGGGAGGGGGTGGTGTTAAAATGGTGTGAGGGGAAGGAGGAGTTTGTCTTATCGGTAGAGGGTCGTGTTGGAGTTACTGTTTGATGCTTGTTTGTTTTTGGGTTCTCTATATTGATTACTCTTCAAAGCCACGCCAAGCAGCCAAGCCTACCCCCAACTCCCACTCCCCCCTCTCTCTCTCTCTCTCTCTCTCTCTCTCTCTCTCTCTCTCTCTCTCTCTACACTTAGCAGGTTGCGTGAAGCAAGCACGCAATGGAATAAACCCGGCCCGAGCTTTTTCCCCTATCTTTCCTCCCTCTTTTCTTGCTTGTCACTATGCAGCGTAGCAGTCTCCTCTCCCAACTGTTCTACAGCTCTGCTCCTCCAACCTCCCCTTCACGAAGCTTATGCCACCAACGCCTTCTCCTTCCCTTTCTCTTTCCCTCCAAGTATGGACCATATATAAATGGAGCTATATAGATCAGCGTGTAGCGAAGGGTGGAAGGTGGAATTAGCGTGTCCGCGTCATGTCTCAGTATGCGTGCAGGTGGATTCCGGATGCGTAGAAGGCAAAGGACGCAATCTTCCAACTTGGACCACTCGGTTTCCATTGACCAAAATGACACCGGCGTTTAACAACTACATCATCTCACGCGACGCGGCCGTTTCACTTCCTGGCCTCCTTCTGCTTTCCTTACCCCCCTTTTTCTCCGCAGCTGCGACTCACATTCTTGTATGCTATGAACACGTGAGATGAGTTCTTTCGTCCCAGCCAGGTAACAGTAGAAGAAGGAATGGAGAGCCCCACATGTGACAGTGCGCTACTTAGCAGCTTCCATTACTGTTCCATCCCCTTTGAAAGCGTCACTTTTCCAAGATGGAGTGGAGTCCTTTTCGTGCGAGTCTTCGAGTTTCTAAGTCGGTCTTCACTGCCGTCCGTCTCTCCTTTTTTAAGGATGTCAGCCCGTTTGGTCTGTCATGATTTAGTAGGATGAAGTATAGCAGGTCCCGGTAACAAGCTTTTGGAACCTATCATGCCGGATACATATCTATATGGACCCAGACGCAAATACCAGAACCTATTTCACATGTTCCCTTTTCCTTTACCAGCGACGATGACTACAAAGAGCTCCATCACTAGTCCCACGTCGGCTGCCACCAATCATACCGATCGAGGTTTCAACGCTGTTTAGCCTTCATTAAACAAAACCACCCCGTGTCGATCTTGATCTGATGCCGTGCATCGTTGGGGCTTCGATGTGGTTATTAGAGGTTAGGAGGGGCAATTGCAAGAGCACGGCGGAGCCTCGTGCGGACTCACAGAGATGACATCACAGATGGCCGGGCGGCCCCGTCCCCCGCCGTTCGTTTTCAGTAGCAACCATGCTGCTAAATGAGATATTAAGATAGGTGGAGTTTGTACCGTTTCGGCCCGACGCGCCGCTCCGCTCCGCTCCCTTTCCCCACTCCGATTTCTTTATTGTAGCAGTACGAGAGAGAAGCTCCTCTCCCATTCCCCCCCCACCCCGATTTTTTATTCTGGCGGTACGAGAGAAGCATAAAAAAGCGGAGTTATTTATAAATGGCAATTGTTATTACTACTGCTACAGTCGGTAACGGCGCATCCCCGCGCCGTCCGGTTCGTGTCGCGCCAGTGCCCCGTGACGGGGAAGCAGGTGCAGTACCCCACGCCTCCTGCCACGTGGTAGCCCGTCCTCTTCGGCTTCAGCGTCGCACGTCATGTTAAGGTTTCCTTCCCCCCTCTCCTCCATTTAATATCTCGGCCGTTACAAGATGATAAGATGTAAGTCTTTGTTTGACCACCAGCGTCCCAATAAAGAAGAGATACAAGTCTGAGCGATGTGCGTGCAAACGCAAGTTGATATGTGGTCTCCTCGACTGATCTAAGTCGCACGTCAATATGCTTCATAAGCCCTCTTAAGTGCCTCTTAAAATTAGAATTAGGTCGTCGCCCTCGACCTCACACCCGATCAGTTCTAGTAGCTCTTGTCGAAGACTCGAATAACTCGATTGCAAATCCCGATTTCTTTAGTGGGAGAGAGATGTGTGTTGCATTTAATAGGGTGGCTCTCTTTATGCATTCGTGCGGTCGTCGCATTGGAATCACAACACAACGAGGGAGGGGTAACATTGCATGACTTCCACTCCAGAATTTGTGTGGAAGGGAGTGGGCTTTAAATAAGGGTGTTGTCACCTTAAAATGGAACACTGGGAGAGTGTTGGACAAAATATTAATGGCCTCCTTGTGAAGGAGGCGCTGTGCTGGATTGGAGGGGGGTGGGTCAAGGGCAGGACTCGGTTGGGTGGACCAACCCAACCTTTCCTTCCCCATGGCATGAATGCAATGGGAAGGAGGACCTACCTACCCACCTAAAGTCTCAACAGCACCCTCCCCTCCCTTTTAACTCCATCCCCCGATCTCTGGCTCTGTGATGTTGCTGTCGTCCTCAGTGGAGCAGCCAAGACCGGGAAATCTAAGACCACCTTTCAGGAACACGAGGTGTTGGAAAAAGGCTTCGGGGATGCATACATGTCATGTGATTCTCTCTTTCTTCTTTGTTCTAGTCTCCATGGAGCCTTTTCGGAGAACGACTGACCATTGGCTGCTTCTGCTCTGTAATGGCTTTCTTGGTCTGGTCCGGTGGTGCATAAAGGTGGGAATGACACAAGTGTATTGTGGGTCCCATGTGGTCAAACATCAAGGAAGACATGTTAGGACTTGACACCATGCCAAAAAGCTCGAGAGTCAAGAGTCAAACGAATGAAACCATCTGCTTTAATTTTGGAGGGTCAAGGAAACAGACATGCATCGAGTTAACTCTTTTTTTCTTCTTTTTCCTGTAATATATTATATCTTAACAGTTCTCTGCTGACCTCTACTGAAACCACAGCCCGGAAAATGATCGACTTGCCCAAATGGATGATGATGGTACACCAACATGTTCTTCCAGCAACTCCTGCAGTAAAAACATGACTATTTCCTTTTTCCATGGGTTCGAAATCATCATCAAGTGATCGCTACAAAGTTTGGACAAATTGTTTTTATGCATCTCAGTCAGCAATGAGGTCTACTACATAGCCGACTGCAAGTGTGTCCCGAACCGGGTTTCATATGGAGATGTCGAAATCTGTGCTTTAGATCCCAGAGGTTGACCATACGATCCTTATCAGCGATGGTGTATGTCTCTTGCCTCTGTTGCGGCCAACATTTCTTACGGTGCTGTGGCAAGTCAAGATGGGCGATAAGAAATGTATCTCACAACTAAGACTTCAAGGTAGATCATTTCTCCACATAAAAAATGCAAGGAACAATTGGCAATTCAGCTTATGTCTTGATTCAGTTGTTCTGAAACGATACGAGTAGAAAGAAATCCAAGATAAAAAGGATTAGATCGCCCATTATTCTGATGCTCAAATGCAGTGAAACAATCATGTGCCTTCGAGATGAGTTCATAACGGGGATAGAAATGGTTTACGTCCCAGGAAAATATCATTACTCGTCAACAAACATTACGTCTATGCAGGTGAGAAGGCCATGTCTCGAGTAGAACATACGAGAGCAGAGTGCTTCACGGAATCTATTTGCAGGCCGTCGCAGTTTGCCATGCACCGGGCCGACCCAATTCATTTGGATGTATGTACCTAGTGATGTACGACTACGCAACAGCTTCAAGATCTACTTATAAGTAGATCTAAATGCTTCAAGTGAAGCATGATTGGACCAAAAAAAGCCACCTAAACGATCATGTATCATAACCTTCCTAGACTTGCCTGTGAATTGCACAGTAATCCATTTAACATGTGTTAATGGACCTACAGCCGAAAGCGTTGTTGCTGCACGAGAACACGAAGGCCGCGTTGCAAGCATCGCATCCAGCCTAAACGGAGCTGTCCATGTACCTGCGTCGTTTCACATGGTAGATGGTCAGTAGGCAGTCGAACGCAATGGCCGACTGAGTTAAGAAGGTTGAGTATCGTCGTCCCGCACGCAGATTAGTAGTTGGGAATGCTGACAGGATGGATATATAGAATTCATGTGGTGATGCAAAGGCACATCATCTACGAGTTATCATCATCTCCTTTATTCAAGTTGAGCGCGTACATTATACTCGCATATGGCTCGAGTAGAACATGCACGGTGAAGGCAATGATACACGTCAAACAAGTGCTTGTGTTGTTGTGACTTATACCAGAAGTTCCTCGAAGAAAGTAAAAAGGGTTTAATTCGGAAACACACGGCTTCAAAAACTCACATGCATGTCTGTCCTTGAACGCACAACCTTTTTCCAGTGTCCTATGCAGAGGAAAACAATAATGGCCGTCATCTGATAGGTGTGAAGGGACGCCCATGCGGCTCGGCGATTCAAATGGTTTCGAGCGGCAGCAGAACGGCTCAGTCCCCTATTCTTAGTGCGTTGCGTAGTCCCCATTTTGAACTTCGGCGTTCCCCGTTATAGATTGTTGACACGGACACACACACATACAGTGTTCCTTCGAGTCGAAGTCACGTTGAAATTTGAATCGCTTTCCATCTTCTCTCTTCTGTAACACACGCGACTCATCTAGTCCGCAATTATGTTGTTTCCGCTCTTCTTCTGGTCATTGCCTAACAAGTTCTCAGCCTTCGAACGGTCTTTGTCTGGATGGAAGTTGCGTGAGTCGGGGCCAATGGATTTGACCATGGTCGCTCTGAACGCGTCGAATCCATGACACGTAGCCCGAAAACTTCTAGATGAGTCGCGAATGTCGGGCTTGACCTGATGATCTTTTGCGTCCGGTCAGATCCAAACTCGATCTTCTCCGTATTACGTGGAATCGAACTCTCGAGAGGACAGAAGACCATGGAGTTATGGGCCCCTGACAAGCCAGTAACCTCTCCCCGCGGCCACAGCTGCTACCCCTTCCCCTCCGTCAAAAGCCATTTAGCCAAAAGTGTGATCGCTCCCATCTCCCATATGTTTCTGGGGTTCTTTTCTCGTCTTTTTTCATTTACCTTTTTGTTTTTCTTTATTTCTTTCGGCTCCATCTGATACCATCCACGTCGTGGCTTTCACTTTCCGCGTAACCATACGCGCCGCCCCACTCGCCACCCACCTCCCAACACAACTGCTTCTACGTGGCGCCAAATGGAACGAAAAGTAATAGGCGGGAAATTTGACTCACCCAATCTCCTTCCCGCCTGATTAATTAATTAAAAAAAACCAAATGATTATATATATATATATATATAGAAGGTACTCGCTGTGAGTCACGACACCAGCGCTCCTTTTTCCCGTCAAAGATAACGGCGCCGCGCGTGCCACCGTCCATCACGGAGACTTGTCCCTGGTGTGCGGTGATCATGGCGCGCATCTGACATCATGTGGCTTCCTTCTGTCGCTCAGACGCCGTACCGCGTAACTTTTGCCAATTTTCGG